TAGAGCAACACAGACACTGAACTCACTCATTTCTGAAAGAGCTCAGCTATAAGGCCATTGACAGCACCCAGGAACACAGTCCCACAGAGGACCAAAACCCCAAATAAATCTGTCTTACTCAGTATAAAAGTTTTACACAGAGAAAGAAAACTGAGAAGTTTGCCCTTTTGATCAATGAAAGAGAGATATGCACACTTTTTGCTTCCTCCCAAGTAATAATTGTTTACACTGGGCTTGATAATAAACAAAAGTGTTTTATTGAGTATAAACAGTAGGATTTAAGTGATTGCAAGAGAAAACAGACAGATCAAAGTAAGTTACTAAGCCAAAATAAATAAAACACGCCAGCTAAACCTAATTCACTGAAAAACTTGTTACATGTCAATTCTTACCCTAACAGTTGTTCTAATTATCTCTTTCACAAATTAGGCAGCCTCCTAGCTTGGGGTCAGTCCTTCCCCCTGTTCTTTCTTAGATGCTTCCAGCAGGTATCTTGGGTGGTAAGTGGGGGTCTCTTGGCATCTGGCCACTACTCCTATTGTTTGGTTCCCCCCCTTTATATCCCTTTTGACTGAGGTGGGAATTCTTTGTGTTCAGTTAAATTTTTCTCACTTTGACTACGTCTACCCTGTAGCCTTCTTGCGGAAAAGCTTATGCAAATGAAGCTCGGCATGGAATATCGCCTTGCTTCATTTGCATAATTAATGAGCAGCCGTTTTTGAGCAAGAGGCTTTTGCGCAAAAAGGAGCTGTGTAAACAGCTCCTTGTTGCACAAATAACCCTTCTTGTGCAAGAGCCATTCTTCCTCATTTTTTGTGGCTGAAAAGCAGTGGCAACATAGCCAGACCACACCATTACATGAAAGCCAGTAGAGAGATGAAGGAGAACTTGGTGGTGGGGGTATGTTTTCTTAATCATTTTAATGAGATATCAATGTGGAGGGAGAAATAGCTATTACACAGAGGCTACGTCTACACTGGCCCCTTTTCCGGAAGGGGCATGTTAATTTCAGCCATCGTAGTAGGGAAATGCGCGGGGGATTTAAATAAAAAAGAGGGGAAACTGGTAGAGGTCCAGGTAATGATTTAAATAAACATGGATGTACCTGGATATCCCGGACATCTATATAATAAAATTGTGACCTGAGTAAAATTCATATCAAATGTCTTTTGTCCTGCTTTTGGAATACCCAGACAATGTAGCCACCTATAGGATAACCCACAGCAGCTATGCAGTTGTGTACAGCAATGCTGCACAGCAGTATTAGGTACAGAAGTAATGAAGAATACCATTTTCCAAATGCTTACGGGAAGAAATACCTTAAGAGGTAGACTATTGCAAAAATCAGTTTCTAGATGCTTAGGAAACTACATAAATTCATGTACACATTTAATTATATATATGCATTTTGTTATTAAGAATTGATACACCAGTAAGTGAAGTCTATTTTCTATGGCTTTAAGAATAGCAAAGGCAAAAGAAAAAAAAAGAGAGAGACTTTTACCATCACTGCCTGCTTAAATCTTCTAACTGGCAAAATTAAACCATGTCTCTTTATTTATTTATTGTACTTGTAAAAAGATTAATGGAGATGTGATTCCTTCAGGCTTTTACATATAACCCCATCACACAAAGAACAAAATTATACAGTGCGGCAAATGAACTAAATTAGCTACATTTATTTAAATAACTGCTATGGAGGAAACAATAAATCAACAAAAATCCTAACAAAAATGTGTTTATAAAGTGTCTTGTAATTTGTTTTAGCAAGGATACAGACTTTTAGCTCTTAGCTAATCTTGCTTCTAACAGTCTATTATCATATCAGCTGTTAATGAGTGTTTGCTATAGAAAGCATCAGATTCCTAGCAACAAAAAGTATGTGTAACTTCCACTGCACTGTCCTCTATGACATGGCTGCCCTCCCTACAAGGAAATATATTTTCCTAATAAACATTTTTAAAGGTTTCTAAAAACTTGTGAGACAATCAAAATTAAATGCCAGAGCTTTGTTAAATCAGAAAAGGGGGTTATTTGAATGGTCATAATCATGCAATTATCTCATCTTCACTGAATTTCAAAGGGCTTTATCTATATCTAGTCCTATATATCAGGAGTAAGTGAGTAGGGGGAGCTCTAATGCTGAACCTGTGATGTATTCATAAATCAGTACTTTCAGAGCCTGTCATGGGCTCCATAATGAGGGTCATTATTCAGGCAGAGTGTCAAAACTACTATCAAAGGACCTTCTCAGAATCACAATCATTCTGTTTCTTGTTAAATAAGCAATGTAGTACACAAAAATGGCAAACAAGAAGCAGGTCAATTTGATACAGTATGAGGGCACAGAGACCTCTAGAGTAATTTACCCTCTGGGAATTCTGATGGCTTGTGAGATAAATTATATACACCCTCAAAAAAAGATTAATGGTAATAAAATCCCTGGAATATTTTCAGAAAAAAAATCCATGTCTATGTATGGCAACTTCAGTAACAAAGAAAACATTTTCTAAAGATATTTTAACTATTGCGAGTAGCTCTCTGGAAAGCTCTTAAAACTTACCAGAAAATTGGCAGCACCCACAGGCAGTGCCATATTTCAATTTTCAAGTTTATTTCAAAAACCCAACAGCTTTTCTATGTCAAACAGAGGTTTTTTTAAAAAAAAGGAGAAAAAAGGAAGACACGCTTGTTCATTGCCAAACATAGATTCACATATTTATTCACTTTAGTACAGGCAATGACAGACGCAACAGAAACTATTAACAAAATATCCTGTGGACATTTGACCAGAAACAGTAAATAAAAATTATTTTAAATGGTTTGAGATCAACCTTGCTAAGAGCTCAGCACTTACTATGGGCACATCTGTATTATGAGAAGATCGACGCATTGGAGGTC